GGGCTCTAGACAGTGAGAGATCCTGCCTCAAAGAGGACAGAGAATGTCAACTGTCCCATGTCAGAACAGTTGGCCTCTGTGAATAACCCGGTGGGTGCACATACTTGCACACAGGTATATGTATAGACATGGAAGAAGAAAGAACAGAAAAATATCATGACTGTCCTGGGGGTCAGTCTTGACTTTTGTAATGACACATGTCCACATCAGACCTTTTGTTTCCAGATAACACATATAAGAGATTTTATGTCATTGGCTACTGGAGATGATGATGACGAATGACGAGGATGATTTTATCTGAAGCAGTGTCCTCCCCAGGGAGGCCTCCGCTTGTGGTAGTCCTTCTCCCTCTGACTCTGGAGCTCCGGGATGGCAGGCGTTTCCCACCATGCCCAGCTTGAATTAATTTATCCAATTGGTTTAGCACATGGAAATCAGTCACCCTGTGGCACTGAGGAGGTTTTCCTCTGCAGGTAGTCCTCTGACCTCTGCGGGCCACAGAGACCCTAAGCCTTCAAAGTCTCCCTGATTGCATATAGAGGCGTCTCTGTTTTTTGTTTTTAAAAGCAAGACACGGGACAGCAAATGACTTATGGTTTTGTCTGTAAAAGTCTTTCAAATCAATACCAAAAGAAGAAGAACTAAATAAAAGAGTGGATTGAAAACCTGAACGGTAATTTTACAAGAATGGAACTCAAAGTGGCCACCAAACAAATGGGGGAGGCCACAGTAGTTATGAGGGAATTCAAGTCAAAGCCACGGTGAGAGGTCACTGCACACACATCAGATGACTAAAAAGTCGATGTTCTCAAAGCAGCCGGTGCTATGAAGCATACAGGGAACTAGAACTATTTAATGTATTTTGTTATCCTTATCTTATGAATCTTTTTACATTTATTTTTACTTTATGTGCATTGGTGTTTTGTCTGCATGTATGTCTGTGTTAGGGTGTTGGGTCCCCTGCAACTAGAGTTACAGACAGTTGTGAGCTGCCATGTGGTTGTGGGGGAATTGAACCCGGTTCCTCTGGAAGAGCAGCTAATATTCTTAATCACTGAGCCATTTCTCAGCCTCTGAGACTTGTGTAGTTTAGCCTGGCCTCAAACTTGCCAGTTGAAGATGACCTTGAACTTCTGAGCCACCTGCCACCACTTCAAAATGTCGGGATCGCAGGTTGCACCACCACACTGGGTTTCACACGGTGCTGGAGATGGAACCCTGGGCTTCATGCACGCCAGGCAAACACTCTGCTAAGTGAGCTATATCCCCAGCCAACAACCTGTATCCTCCTGCCTCAGCTTCCTGAGTGCTAGAATGGCCGGGGTGTAGTGCATATCTAGTTCAGACGGAAACTGGAGAAGGTCAGAGAGACTGCTGGGTACATGTGGCCAGTGGTGTGTCTGGCACATGGTGGGAACAGAGTTTATGGCAAATATCACTGCTGCTGACTTGAGGTTTCTGCCTCCCACAACCCCAGTGGTTCCAGGTTCTTGACATCTCAGAGCCTTTGGTGTTTAGCTTCAGGCTACAAAAATTCATACTGTCACATGTGAATAACTCAGCAAGTTTTCTACCTCATAGAAACATCTAGCGGTGGCTCAGTATATAGCCCAGGCTAGCCTTGAACTTGCAATCTTTCTGTATCAGACTCTTAGTTCTGGGACTCATAACATGGGACATCACACCCAGCTCGACAAGTTTTTTAAAAAGGCATTTGTTTTTCATTTGTTTGCTTGCTTTTTAAAAGATTTATTAAACTTTGTGTACATTGGTGTTCTGCCTGCAGGTCTGCAAGGGTGTTGGATCCCCTGGAACTGGAGTTACAAACAGTCGTGAGCTGCCATGGGGGTGCTGAGAATTGAACTCAGGTCCTCTGGGAGAGCAGACTCTTAAGCGCTCAGCCATCTCTCCAGCCTGTTTGTTTGAGACAGGATTTCTCTGTGTAGCCCTGGCCTTGAACCCACAGAGATCTGCCGGCCTCTACTGGGATTAAAGTCGTGCACCACCAGTGCTGGGCAGAAAAGGCGTTTGTTAACACTAGATGTAATTGAAATGAATAACACATACTGGATTTAAACCTTGTTTTAAAAATTTATGCGTTTAATATCTTTCATTCTTGGGAGGCAGAGGCAGGCGGATTTCTGAGTTCGAGGCTAGCCTGGTCTACAGAGTGAGTTCCAGGACAGCCAAGACTGCACAGAGAAACCCTGTCTCGAAAAACCAATAAATAAATAAATAAATAAATAAATAAATAAATAAAATATATCTTTCATTGATTTCCATGGCCACTGTCCGGGTGGGAGATGCAAGAAAACGGGGCCATGCCATCCCCTGGTGAAACTGGGGGCCCTTCCCTCCTGTACTGAGGAGCCCCCTCGACTTGTACAGAGCCACAATGGGAGCCTTCCTGGGTCAGCTTCATTACTGAGAAGCTGAACACTAAAGTCTCACTTGCCCCACCCTGACTGTCCTCCCCACCTCTCCCCCACCCTGACTGTCCTCCCCACCTCTCCCCTTCTCCATTCCCAAGCATTAATTAGCAAGGGAAGCCCTCTGTGGGCAGGAGAGGTCAGCTTTAAGGCTGGAACGTTTGCGCTGATTTTTTTTTTTTTATGGTACTTGGAGTGGAGGGAGGGCCTTGAGAAGCTGTGTCTCCAGGGGCTTTGCTTATTTGTTTTTGTTTTGCTTTTGAAAGCAGAAAATGTTCAGGGAAGCATCGTATGTTAGATCTGGTCCAGGGCCTAAGCAGGAAGCAGGTGAAGCGGGACACTTGGAGCACAGGTAGGTTGAGGAACACCATCTTGGCTGTGGTCATGACAGTCAACAGGAGGCCACCAGAGTGGCCTTTCTCCCACTTTCAGCTAGGAAGCCAGATCCCTGTTTCCACACAGGACAGGGACAAGACTGCTTTGCTCTGCATCCATTCCCAGAGGAGTGGACATCTTTTGGGAAGGGTGGGAAGAAGACACAATGGGAAGAAGTCCCTGCCAAACTGGGACCGACACTACTTTGAGCCTTGTCCCTACCTCACCAGGCACGTGACTCCCGGCAGGTTCTTCCTCTTTGTGAACTGCAACTTCTCAGCTGAGAGTGGAAAGAAAGATAACCTCCAGGCTCGTGGAGAGAATGAAATTCTGAGATAACTTAGTAGATGCCCTCCGCATGCCCGGAGGGTGATGGGTATTTAACTCAGAAGGGAAAGATGGTCAAGCAACAAGATGAGAATGTCCTAGTATTTTTCCACAGCTACTCAAAGGAGGCTTCTTTTGTTTGTTTGTCCAGAGACGATTTCATGTAGCCCAGGGTGATCCTGTTTGTCCAGAGAGGGTTTCATGTAGCCCAGGGTGATCCTGAGTTTTCTGTGTAGCCAAGGATGACCTTAAACTCTTGACCCTCCTGTGTATAGCTCTGTCTACCTCTAAGTGCTGGGGTTATAAGCAGGAACCACCATGCCCAGGCTGAATCACCTAAGTATTTTTAGCTCTATGTGTGTGTGGTGGTGCACACCTTTAAGCTCAGCACTTAGGAACTAGCAGCAGGAGGAACTCTGTTGATTCAAAGCCATCCTGGTCTACAGAGTTTCAGGACAGTCAGGGCTACATAGTAAGACCCTGTTGTTTCCCTAAAACCCACAAAACAGTTGTGTGTTTGTGTGTGTTGTATGTGTGTGTGGCATATGCTCCCTTAGGAGCATGTGCACCCATATACCCAGAGGCCAGACAACAGCGTCCGATAGCCTGCTCTCTTGTTCCTTGTCTCACACTTTAGAGACAGGCTTTCTTACTGATGCTGAAGTTAGGCTGTCACTACATATAGCTTTTTAGTTACATGGACTTTGAACTCAGTCCTTATGTGTACAGCAAGCACCCTTAGCCGCTGAGCCATCTCCCTAGGGCCCAAAGCAGCCTTCTAAAAAAAAATTAGTTAAATTTAATTTGTCTGTATGTAGAGATGAGAGAATAACTTACAGGAGCCTGTTCTGTCCTTCCACCATGTGGGTCTTAAGGATACCAACCAGAGCTCCCAGGGTCTAAACCACCAGCCTGGGAGCACTTAGGGAGGGACCCATGGCTCCAGCTATATATGCAAGGGAGGATGGTCCTGTCAGGTATAGGTGGGAGAGGAGATCTTTGGTCCCATGAAGGCTGGACACTGAGTGTGGGAGAATTTGAGGGTGGGGAGGTGGGAGTGGGGGGGTAGGTGGGGGTACATCCTCATAGAAGCAGGAGGAAGGGGGATGGGATGGGGGTTCCTGGGGGGAGGGAATGGGGTAAGGGGAGAACATCTGAAATATAAATAAAATATCCAATAAAAATAAAAATAAATAAATAAATAAATAAATAAATAAATAAATAAGGATGGACCCTAGGTTGTCAGGCTTGGCTGCACGTGCCTACTAAGTCATTTGGTGAGCCCCTGGATCACTTTTTCAAGGTCAATCAGGAAGTAGAGCTTGAATGTAAATCTTAATCCTAAAATGTTTGTCCTGGTTTGTGGATTGTCTTCTGGCCCAGGGTCAGGAGTCATCGGTCACAGAGAGTCAGCTGGCTATGCTGTGCTTTGTCTCTGCAAGATGACAAGGAAGCATACAGGAAATACAAGATTTAATGGGTTCAAAATACTTGTCCCCAGAGGCAAGAGGACTGCCAGGAAAGCTTAGCATCCAAATAAAGGGAGCCAGAAAATGAGGGGGTCAGGGTAGTCCACCTGGGGCAGCAGAAAGAGTCCAGAGCAGCTACCACACAGCCCAGGCCCACAGGCAATACAACAATTCTTATCCTAGAGCTAGCCTCTGCTTCTCATCCTTGATCTACCCTCTGCTCATCCTAGAGCTAACTTCTGTTTCTCATCCTAGAGGTCGCCTCTGCTCCTCAGGGTACCTCTTCCTTCTGACTACTAATGAAGTAGATGGTTTGAAGAATACTGTTTATTCTGTATTGTTTTAAAGAACCATCTCTGTATGTGGCCAAAGCTGGTCTTGTAATCACAGTGTTCCTGCTTCTACTGAGTGCCGCAATGACAGGCACAGGCCACCAAGTCCAGCCTCTTGTACCCTTTGTTAAAGGGGGAGAACGCTGATTGGCTATTATGAGCTGCCGAGTGGCCATCTAGTACTGGGTCAGTTAGACGTTACCAAGTTGGTTTTGTGGTTAGTTCGAGTTAGTTTCCCTGCACCTTGCTATGGGATTGAGAAAGTTGTGAACATGTCCTTAAGCTGAGATGCTCCCAGTGGCTCCCTGGGTGACACACTTATTAACACTCCCTGATTCCTGAGGACAAGACTCAGATGTCTGTCTGTCTGTCTGTTTGTCTGTCTAGCTGTAGCATGTGTGGGGTGAGACCCAGACTCACACACTAGTCTCCCCAGCACAGTGCTTCTCGTCAGATAACAAAAGAATGTCCACAGAGCTTTGGTTGAGTGGCAGCAGGGACACGGACATAGCTGGGGTGGCCAGTGCACAGGTGAGGATGGCTTCAAGCTGCAGGGGCTGTACAAAAGGTGCCTCAGTTTATCCAACCAGAAAGAACTCGGTGAAGCTGCCAGCAGAATGGGCTTTCAGGCCATAAAAGCTCTTTGCAGAGGCAGGGATGACACCAAGGCAGGGTCACCGAGTCTCCACGTGGACATCAGCAGGGTCGAAGGTCACAGTAGCAGGATGCTGGCTGCCATTGCTGTTTGGATCCAAGGCAGGAGGGACAGGTGGCTTCGGGCTCTTGGGCTCCAGCTCCCGCCTGGTCCTCATTCTCCTGTAACGAGACAGTGAAGAATGGGCTCTGTGACGATGGCTCATCATGAGATCACACTGTTCAGATGCCCCTGTTACAATTGGGAAGGACCTTCAACATTAGCCTGGCTCACTGTGGGATGGTCTGTTTAAATTAAACTGCTAAACTTCAATCTGTCCCTGACAATGAATGGGATCTGAGCATGGCCGCATTTGAGGTTAAGGGAAGCCATTCGAGGTCTGTAGCGTGATTACATGTGCTAAGTGTTTTGCTGGGAGCATTTAAGGACATCTTATGTAACTGAGAAGAGAACTGACTTAAAATGTCTACAATCCCAGGACATTCAAGGCTGAGGCAGGAACATCAAGATTTTGAGGCCAGCCTGGGCTACATAGGAAAATGCTATCTCAAACAAACTGGCAAACTGTATATTCTATTTTCATTCTACATACCATAAAATTCAGTAGTTAACAATAATGAGTTCTGATGTGATATTTCACCCACTGATACATTCTAATTCCTTAGGAAACACTGGAATTCAACACCATTTCCTTGTTTCCAATAGGTTCACATGGTAGCACCCCCCCAGAGGCTTTAAAAATAACACTTAATGCTACTATTGTTGTTGGCTTTGAGACAGGGTCTTATGTAGCCCAGGCTGGCCTCAGATTCATCCTGTACACTTCTGGTCCTCCTGCCTTTATCTCCTGAGTGCCACCATACTTGATTTATATAGTACTGGGAATCAATCCCAGGCCTTCATGTATACTAAACAAGCACCCCACTCACCAAACCACATCCCCAGCCCCTGTGATTACATGTTATGGTGAGAATATTTTCTTTGAAACCGCACGGCTTGGGTTTGAGCCTCAGCTCTGACAAGGTCTGGAGGGCAGGGCTACGCATGGCAGGTGAGCTAACACTCTACATGCGGAATGGGTAAGATGTGGGGGGGGGAGGGGAACCGGACAGTTCTGGGCATCCCCTACCTGTTGTACATCTTCAGCAGGATCAGTACCAAAGTGACAATGATGATGACAACCACCACGATGGCAGCCACAATGGCTCCAGAACCTGAAGAGAAGAGGAAACCGAAGTGGGGAGAAGCCCTTGGCAGATACATAGGGTGTCCTCTGACCTCTGTGTGTGTGTTGGTGCACACTTATGCCAGCATGGACACGTATGTGCACACACACACACACACACACACACAAACACACACATTCTAAAAAAGGTTAATGAATTCAAATACAAATTAAGAGCGAACAGAGATGGTAAAGACACAAGCTGACACGCAGACTGGGGGCCCCCAGTGCACAACTGGGATGCTGGCTTCCATACAAGTGTCCACCTTACTCTCACAGAGTAATGGTCTGCTCCCCGGCTATTGGACTGATGACTGATTATTGGCCCTGATCTAATCAGATTTAGCCATTGAATTTATAGTTTGATGGCACTATTGTCAGGTGACAGAAACTGTACGAGGTGACAGAAGGGCCTGGTAGGAGGAAATGGGCACTAGAGGCCCTTGAAGGTCACCTTCTCATGTTTCTGTCTATCCATCTCTGTGGCCCAGCGTCATGAGTGGGCAGCTCACTATGCCTCCTCTGCCCAACGCTATCTCAGCTCAGGCCCACAGCGGAGGAGCCAAGCCGCCAGGACTGAGACCTGAGCCCACACAAACGTTTCTTTAAGTTGATTTCTTTTTCAGGCATTTTGTTAGATCAGTAAGAAATGGAGTTTCATGTATCCCAGGATGGCCTTGTTAAGAAGCCAGTGACCGTGAACTCCTGATTCTCCTCCTCTGTCTCTGAAGGCCTGGGATTTGCAGATATGTGCCACAGTGCCTGCCTACCTCCTCCTGTCAGCACAGATCTGAGCTTCTATAGAACAGATCAGGAAACCGTCCTTCCCTCTTTTTGATAATGTGCAATTAATGTGATTTTTTTAGATTTTTTTTTTTTCCAGACAGGGTTTCTCTGTGTAGCCTTGGCTGTCCTGGAACTCACTCTGTAGACCAGGCTGGCCTCGAACTCAGAAATCCACCTGCCTCTGCCTCCCAAGTGCTGGGATTAAAGGCGTGCGCCACCACCACCTGGCCGTATTATCACTTTCATCTCTCCAAGTGTTTACATATTCTCCGTGGTTCCAATGGCTGCACGTTACCCTGTTTTGGCGGTACCATGATTTGTTCATCAAGTTCCCACTGAGATTGTTTATGTCTTCCATCTGACACACACAAGGCTAGTATGCAAGTCCTGTAGCTCACCATGTCAGAGGCTAATCTCAATGCGCTTTCAATGGCAGACTCCCATCTCAGGCCCAAGAACAACATCCTTGTCAGAGTTTTGAAAACCTCAAGAACCATAAATACATCCATGCTTTAAGCCAGTCTGCCACATCAAAGGGGATTTCATATTTAGGGAATAGCTAATCCTCAATATTGAAAGGCTGTTTGAAAATGTCTGTTAACAAACTTATCAACATGCTAAGTGGTTTAATAAGGTATTGTAGACTAGCCCATAAAATACTCTGGAATGCTTTCACTGATGATTTTGGAAAACTACAAATGACTCAGGAACACTTAAGACCATCTCAGGCATGGAGAATAGAATACAACATTACAAAACACTAACATACTTGAATACAAACATATGGTTCAGCTAAAGAAACCAGATACGGAACCAGAGAGATGGCTCAGTGGTTAAAAGCACAGGCTGCTCTTGCCGAGGACCCAGGTTCCATTCCCAGCAGCCATACTGTCTGTAACTCTCGTTCCTGGGTATCTCACGCCCTCTTCTGGCCTCCACAGGCACTACACGCACTGTGCACTTACATGCAGTGAACACTCATGCATATAAAAAGAAGCCAAATACAAAAGAACACATATGGCTCTCATTCCAATCATACAAAACTCAAAACCGTATATAACTAATCAGTATTGGGGGGGGGGTGGGCTCCTTTAGGGAACAGGATCTTGGAGTCACTGGTATCCTGGTGTTACAGTGAGTGCACTTTCTGAAAAGTTACCTCATGGGACCTCAGTTGGAGAGTTACCTCCATCAGTTAGCCTGTGGACCCGTGCCTGCAGGGTCATCTTCCTGAATAGTGATTGATGTGAAAGGTCCTGGGTTGTATCAGAAAGCGGGCTGAGCAAGCCATGAAAGCAAGGCAGTAAGCAGCACTCCTCCACGGCCTCTGCTTCAGCTCCTGCCTCCAGGTTCCTGTCTCGGGTTCCCGTGATGATGGACAGTAAACTGTAAGCTAAAATAAAGTCTTTGCTCCCCAAGTAGCTCTTAGTCATGGCGTGCATTACAGCAATAGAGACAGAAACTAACATCCAGGGTCTCAGACGGCTCAGGTTGATCTCAAACTTACGTAGCTGAAGATAACCTTGAACTCCCAACCTTCCTCCTTCCACAATCACCAGTGCTGGGAATTGAACCCAGGCCTTCATGCCTGCTAGGCAAGCCCTCTACCAACTGAGCTACATTCTGGAAGAGCTGTTGTCAGCTTTTCTTGTCCCAAGAACCTCTGGTCTTCAGTAAACATTTTCCAGAACTAACCCAGTCCCATCTTCAATCATTTGCCCCTTAAGAAGTAGGCAGGATATTTGCCTTTAAAAGAATAGTATGTGAACTGTACAGTGATATCACATGCCTTTAATGCCAGCACTCTGGAGGCACAGGCAGGTCATCTCTGAGTTTGAGGCCAGCCTGGTCTACAGAGTTAGGTTCAGAACAGCCAGGGCTACACAGAGAAACCCTTAAAAACTCAGAAAGGGGGGCAGGCAGCAATTGCATCTGAGCAGTTACTCTTTAATGCTGCTGTTCATCATCTTCAAGGCAGGATCTCTCTCTGCGTGACCCAGTCTGACCTTTGAACTCCCAGAGATCCCCCTGCCTCTGCCTCCCCAGTGTTGGAATTAAAGGTGTGCACTGCCAAACTTAGCAAGCAGTTAGCTTTTCAAGGAGACCCATTTCAATATCTTGAAAGATTGAAACTTCCATCCCTTCCTGGACTCCAGGATTTGTTGGAGACGATCAGGAGCAGCAGCCCGTTGACAAGGTACCTGCCATGGCGCTTGGTGTGCTTATGTGCGTTTCTACAGGAACCACGCCCTTCCCGGGGCCCACTTATACCCTCACATCAGCCTCCCGCAGGGCCTTCATGGGTATCCTCTGTCTCACAGGTGAGGGAACTGAGGCCCAGGACAACGCAGCCGTGCACAGGGTTGGCAAGTGATGGGACCAGGAAGCTGACCCCACAACTGGCCCTGGCCACCTCCCACCATGTCCACCTTACTCTTATACAGAGCGTCCTCTCCCCTGGTCATGTTCAGTGAGTAGACAGCGTCTCCCAACGTGGTGGCTGTGGTCATCTCGACCCTGTTGAGAGCAAAGGAGAACTTCTGCTTAGAACTTGGGTTGGTCTGACCATGTCTGTACAAAGCGTTTGCTCGTTGCCTGGATGATTCTAGAATTCTCACACACACACTTTCTTTTGGCAGCAAGTAAAAATGAGGCCCATTCCTAAAAACTATGTGTATGAAAACAGTATCCCAGAATTACGAGGAACTTCTGTCCCTCCCTTCTTCCTTCCCTTCCGTCTCATCTGACAGGGTCTCACATAGCCCAGGCAGGATCCTAACTCCGCCTATAGCTGAGGATGGCCTTGAGTTCTACCTCCTAGTGCTGGGATCACAGATGGGCACCACCATGCTCAGCAAGAAACTGGGAACTTAGTTTTTCTTTAAAAAAAAAAAATTTTTTTTTTGTTTTGTTTTTCGAGACAGGGTTTCTCTGTAAAGCCCAGGCTGTCCTGGAACTCACTCAGTAGACCAGGCTGGCCTCAAACTCAGAAATCCACCTGCATCTGCCTCCCAAGTGCTGGGATTAAAGGCGTGTGCCACCACTGCCCGGCTTTTAAAATATTTTAATTTATTTAGAATAATTCTATTTTTTGGATATGAGTCCTTTTAGCTGCATGCATGTATTTATGTGTATGTATGGTGCAGGTTGCAGTCAGAAGCAAGCACAAGACCTTTTGGGACTGAATTTACAGATGGCTATGAACTGCCCTGTGGATTCTGGGAATAGAACCCAGGTCTTCCGGGAGAGCAGCCAGTGCTCTTAATCACTCAGCCATCCCTCCAGCCCTAGAACTTGTTTTTTTCAAAGCACTGTGAATTTATTACACTCCCCCTAGGTCACCACTAGGAAGACAGACCCAACCCAGTAAGGTCAGGGTAGGTTGGGAGGTGCATGGTTAGATGTCTCTCCACCAGGAGGGAATGCCAGGATCAACCGAGGACGCCTCAGAAGCAGGCTGGTGTTCTAAATGGTTGTTTTGAATGACAGGGGTCAGGAAAAGAAGGGAAATAAGTAAAATTTCACTTCACTGTTTTACAGCCTGAGGATCTAGCTCAGTAGAGAATGGTTTTAGTATGTGAAGCTCTGGGCTCTATTCCCATATGTCTCTATAGATCTATATAAATCTAACTCTAGATAGATATAGATAGACAGATATAGAGATATATCTATATAAAGACAGATATAGACAGTTATATAGCTATCTTGATATAGACAGTTATATAGAGGTAGATATGCAGGGATAGATACAGACAGAGTTATACAGATGACACATGCCAGCTCCACTGGATGGCTGAGACAAGGAACCTGCCCTCTTCTCACGTTTCTGTTCTGGCGGCCTCAGGCCTCAGCCCCCTACTCTGAAGACCAGCGGCTCTCACCCTTCCTAACACTGTGACACTTTGATACAGTTCCTCACATGGTGGTGATCCCCAACCATACAATTATTTTCATTGCTACTTCAGAACTGTAATTTGGTCGCTGCTATGAATCGTGATGTAACTCTCCGATATGCAGCATATCTGACAGGTGACACCTGCGAAAGGGGTCGAGACCCACAGGTTGAGAACCGAGGCTCTACAGGCAGTGTCCACAAGACCTTCAGCCAACATTTCCCAGTTATAATAGAAACACGGATGGGCATCTGCCTGAGACATGAGGGAGGCCATCTTCACTCAGCTGGAGGCTCTGTCGACTACCACTGTAAGAAGGCTCTTGGTGACCTGGTCCTGTTAATTTATAGAACAGGCTCGGCCTTCACCTTCTCTGCCTCACTACAAGCCTAGGGTCCTGTCTGCCACCCTGGTTCTTGTGATTTTTCAGGGCCTCCCATGACTCAGCTTCCCCTCCAGGAAACCTACAGGCCTCTACAGACCTCCCCTTGCATATCTGTCTTCTGTCCTGGCACCTGATTGCCTTAGACTGGTTAGGGTGGGCTACATGCTCCCCAGCAGGAAGAACACAGCCTCAAGCCAGCCACCCTTCCCTGAAGACTCCTGTCCAGACAGAGTTAGCAAGGTTGTTCTCTCCTTTCCCACAGCTACTGTGAGTCAGAAAGCACAGCTAGCATCCCTGTCCCTGTCTTGGCTTTGCACACTCCCTGTCACCCCTTGAAGATATAGCCATGTCTGGTTCATTTTCAGCTCTGTCTGCTTGCCCCAGATCCAGCAGCATCTCCCCTTGCCAGTGGGAGGACTGTAGTAAGGGACAGAATTCCTCCCAGCTTCTGCTTGTCTGCAAAATGAAGGGCCTGGCTGGCCCTAAGGAAGCTGAGGGGTAGGAGCGAACTGTGAACACTATTTTTTGTTTTTTTTTGTGAAGGCACTTCACGTATTCCAGGTTGGCTTCGAACCCACTATATAGCTAATGATGAGCCTGAACTGACCCTCTGGCCTCCACGACTCCAGCGCTGGGGTTGTAGGTGTGTGAATTGAACCTAGGGCTTCACGCTTGCTGGGCAAGCACTCTGCCTACTCAGTGACATCTCAAGTCTGCAAAGTGTTATTATTTGGAGTTCAGTGACCTGGGCACGGTGATAATGCCTGTAGTCCCAGTGCCGCAGAGATGCAGGCAGGAGGGTCAGGATTTCAAGGTTATCCTCAGCTACAAAGAGAGTTGAAGCTAGCCCAGGATAAGTGAGATATATCACAAAATAATACATACATACATACATACATACATACATACATACATACATACATACGGATGAGAAATCCGGACAGAGGGCTCCCTGTTCTGTTCTTGAGGAAGGACCCCTCCCTGCCTTTGCCACCACAGTCAGGTACAGGTGCTCAGATGCATTTGTCCAACACTTCTGTCTAGCTCCACCGCCTCCAATATAAGATGTCGCAGAAAACAAGGTTTCCTTTCCCACGGGTTCCCGTCAGGACCTGAGGCTCAGAGCTGCGAAGCTCACACTTGTGCTCGCTTAGCCCGAAAGCTGTAGAGCAGCGGTGTGAACCTGACTTTGCCAACTGCCACGCCTGCATTCTGCCCACCTGCCCTGAGATGCACCTGGTGGGAGCAGTGACCAGTCACCGCAGTAACACACAGATGCACACAGGCACACACATGTACACACATGCATACACACGGCCACTCCTACCCACTCCCCTATTCACACAAATACACACACATGTACATATGCACATATAAACACATATATACATGCATACACCCTCATACTCACATCATTACAAATTCATTCAAGCATACATACATGTATACACATAGATACACACACTTATAAACACACACACACACACACTGACCAGTGAGCAGCTTCCCAAGAACACAGGACACAGGCTCCTCCTCAGGTCCGGCTGGGTTCACCTCTTAGGTGCTGGGTTCCAGGTGCCGCTGGCCAGTCACTCCTCCTTCAAGAAGAACAGTGAGCAATCCCAGAGCCAATCTTGCCTCATGCCGGCAGTGAGAGCTCTCAATGGCATCTCTGTTCCTGCCACATCAGAGAAGGTGGGAGGAGGGCGGTGAACATCGATGGCCAAGGATGTGGATGTTTTCACGTGTGGGGGCCCCAGCAACTGTAGTTAACCAAGCCAGACCCAAGACGGGGGACTGAGTTACTGTGCGTGCCCATGGCCGTGGGACGTCGGGGATACTGCAAGGCTAGCTTTTGCAGACCAAGGCTAATTTCACAACTACAGTGATAAGCATGGCTCTTGGGCTTCACAGGCAGGATCCCATTTCACCCTCATCCTCATTCTGGAGAGGAGTGTGCAGCCAGTGTGCCCATTTTACAGAGGAGACATCAGAGGCACAGAGGAGACAGGAGCCTCACCTAATATAGCTATTAGCAAAAGCTATACTAGGCCATAGGCTGGGCTCTGGGACTGCACAGCCGGTCTCCATGAAGCCCCTCCCACCTCCCTTAGACTGCTTCCCAGAGAACACACACACAGAAGAGATGGCCTTCATGAGTACTGAGATTGACAGAAACCCATGAGGGCTAAGGAAGTTTCCACTCACAGAGCCAGAGTGCTTACCCTGGCCTTGACCCCAGCAGCTACGGTACCTACCCTTGACCACACTCTGAATCTACTTTCAGCCTAACTTTACTCACGGTAGCCAGCTCCACAAGGGCCGGTTGTTCCCTCTGCTTGTTAACTGGTCCTGTGTTGGGGCTGGGCTGGGAAGTGGTGGAGGTCATGACCCTTTACTTACTGACTCATCCATCCCCTTTTGACTACCCCCGGGGTCAAGTGTAAGAAGTGTTATCAGGAGGATGAATGCTGTCCCCGCCACCCCCCCAGCACCTCAATACAACATCTCCTCTCTTGCCCTCTGCCTTGCTTCCAAGCTCCTCCCTGGATAATACAAGAAAAACAAATCCCCAGCAAACAAACTCAGAAACAACCAACCGTAACCCAGAGTTACAGTAAGCTATGGAAGCCATTCATCTCCCACGGGTGGGACAGAGCCTGGTGGGTAGTCATCTTGCCTAATGCATATGAAGCGGCCTCAGGCTCAGTCTTCAACACTGTATAGACAGTGTGCACACCCAAAACATGGAAGGCTCAGAAGTTAAAGGTCATCACTGGCTACGCACCGAGTCTGAGTAAGTCTGAGTATAGCCTGGGCTACATGAGACCTTTGCTTCAAAAATTAAAAAAATAAAAATAAAAAAATAAAAATAAAAAAATAAAAATAAAAAATGAAATTGGGGCGTTTGCTGCCAAACCTGATGATCTGAGTTCAATCCCCAGGACCCACATGATTTACGAATAGAGGGGACTTATACAAGTTATCCTTTAAGGTCTACCCATGCATCCTCATGCAAACACACACATAACTAATTAATTGAAAACTAGAAATGAGATTAAAGAAAGTTCCGACTTTCCGAAATACTGGAGCTCATTGGAGCTACAGGCCAGCACTTTGTCGTTTCACCCGCTGGCTGCTCCCTTCCGCCATCTTTCCCACATACCAACTCTGTCAGGTTCAGGAGCTCGGCTTTGTGTGAGGATCCATCCCCTACTATGTCAGCAGATAGCAGCGTGGCGATTCTACCTCTCTCCAGTAGGTGGCGGTAGCAGTTAGCTGTAGGTCAGGAACTAGCCTGCTGAACCCAAGAGTCTAAGGATTTTTCTGCCCTGGAAAAGAGCAATTCTGTGGTCTCTGAAAGTTTTCTTCTCTGGGTTAAATATCTTCCATTTCAGTAATCTTTAAAGTGGGCTAGAGGGAGCTTGCAATGTTTATAATGGCTTTTATTTTCTGTTGGGGAACCCAAACTTGTGAATCTGTGACTGTTCTTGAACTTTTTACATAGAGCATGGCCTCAAATTCTCAGACATCCAAGTGCAGGGATTAAAGACTCGTGCCCTCATGCCCTCATGCCCTCATGCCTGGCTCAGAATGAGATTTTTTTTTTTTGTCCCCAACCCTTGCCTGAATTCTGTCATGACAACCTGCGCCTCCTCACCCAGTGTCTTTCACAATTCCTGTTTGTTCCAGTAGAGCTTTTCCACTGGTCTTGTGGGAATTAGATCGATGGGAATTGTAGGTGGGTGCCATGACACACACCGAGGAACCCCAACACTCGGGACATCATGAGTTGGAGACCAGCCTGCAGTGCAGAAGACTGTGTCTCAAAAAAATAAACAAAAACCAAAAACAAAGAAAAAAACCCCTAGTGGCTGGGGTGTAGCTCATTGGTATGGTGCCTCCCTGGCATGCCTCTGGGGTCATGCCCTGGCTGTAGTGTCACACGTGTAACCTAGCACTCTTGGACACAGGGCTATAGGCAGAGGTCAAGGAGACAAGGTCATGTACCTGGGGTGAGATGTCTGCCTGAAGCGGGTAGGGAGAGAGAGAGGATTCCGCTAGCCAAGAACATAATGAAACCAGTACACTCCCCACTCTCTGGACCGACAGGTGACTGATCTTCTGATGGGTTTGGTAGACGTGGTACACCGGAAACCAAGCTCCCTGGCAAGGCCAAGGAGCCAACTCCACCTGTACTTCAACACCTCCCAGTGCATCCTCATCCTCTACATCCTGTGTGAACCCGAGGAGGCAGCTGCTAGTCAGAACATGGCGGTGTCCACCGCCTTCTCCTTTACAATCAGGGAAATTGAGGACCAAGAGAGCCTTGGGACGCACACAGAGAAGTGTAGAGCAGGGTACAGCAACAGGGAAGAGAGGCAGAAAATAACCCGCTCGTGATCCACCACTAATGACCAGGCCTGTACAGAGCCCCCAACCCGTTTGTTTCTCTTTTAGTGCCCTGCTGCCGTGACAGTACTGTTCCCTTAAAGCAGAGGAGTTCCCTCTAGTCCCTTACTGAAAGCAAGATGCAGGAGAGACAGCTCAGCAGGTAAAAGTGCTTGGAGTACACACCTGACGATCCAAGTTCGATCCCCGGACTCAGAGTGGAGAGAACAGACTCCCAAAAGTCCTTCATTCTCCCTACCCTCTTCTCTCTCTCCTATGTACACACACACATACACACACACACACACTCACACACACATGTGTACACACACATCATATATACACAGAATAATGTTTCCCCCCACCCTACAGTCACGTGTGTGTGTGTGTGTGTGTGTGTATGTGTAGGACAGAGGTTAGCCTTGGATGTCAGTCCTCGAATGCCACCCACCCGTTATGAGACAGGATCACTTGCTGGCCTGAAGCTCATCAAGTACTGACCAGCCAGGGAGCCCCAGGGACCCTTTTGTCTCCCCAGATTTTTATGTGGGTGCTGAGGGAGACATCAAACGCAGGTCCTCAAGCTTGTGAGACAAGCACTTCATTGACTGAGAGCCACCTCTCCAGTGGCCCCCCCACTGATTTTGGATTTATTGATTTTATCACATGTGTGTGACAGCATGTACTACATGCTACCTGGTGCCCACAGAGGTCAGAGGAGGGTGTCAGATCTCTTAGAAGTGGAGTTATGGATGGTTGTGAGCCACCATGTGGAGGCTGTAATCGAACCTGGGTCCTCTGAAAGAGTAACCAGAGCTCTTAACCACTGAGCCATCTCTCCAGCTTGTTTTTGTTTGTTTCAAGAAATAAGGCCCGCTGGAAATGGGAAAGCGCTATAATAATCTCAGTTACTCCACAGGCTGAATTGCTACAAGTTTGAGTTTAGCCTGGTTTTACTATGTAACCTAGGCTGGCTCTAAACTCCAGCCCCTACCTCAGTTTCTCAAGTGCTGGGGTCACAAACCTGTGCATTGTGCATGACATTGTCTGGGTTTGGATTCCTGCCTCTCCTTCTGCCATTCCTGAGGACATGGCAGGCTCCAAGTGCTTGCCATGGATAGCTTACGTCAAGAAAAGCTCAAGAAAAGTAGTGGTTCACCTGTGGGTTGTGACCCCTTTTGGGGGTTGTCTCATATCAGATATCTTACATATCAGATATCTACCTCAGGACTCAAAACCATAGCAAAATTACAGTTATAAAGTAGCAATGAAATAATTTTAGGGTTGGGGGTTAGTACAACACGAGGAACTGGATTAGAGGGTTACAGCATAGGACGGTTGAGACCCACTGCTCTGGAGTATCTCTGTGGAGAGAAGGTGTCGCAGGAACCCAGTGTGCCATTGTCTGTCTAGGCAGGCCACTCTTTCAGGGAGCCCATTTCTCCTGATCTGTGGTCTCACAACTATGCCTGGTCATGGGACCCTGGGGGAGACCCTGATAGCTGGAATGTTGGCCTGAGAGGGAAGGGTCCTGGATTTAAATCTTACCTTTGTTGTCCACTTGCTGGAGGACTGTTCCAAAGTCACTTGTTCTGTCTAGTGTGCAGTTTTCTGTCCTGTGGAATGGCCAGCCAGGACCCAGTGACCTTCCTCTCAGCTGCTTACTACCTTAAGACTTGGGGCTTCCTGAGTGGTTCGGGACGTGGCCCCCTCACCCTCCCCAAGCTGGCTTGCCTCCCACACCCTCCATTCCAGAAAGATCACACCCCCCGTTTCCTGCCCAAGTCAGGACCTGGCAGGGCTGGATTGCAGGGAGGACAGCAGAGAGACCAATCCCAGCTTCTGAGGCTGCCCGCGGTGAGCACTGGCTAGCTGCCAGTCACAACAGGCCTTGAGGTACAGAGGGGCATTTGTCTGGGGACCCGAAGCCTCATGTAAACCTGTGCTCTGGCTTTGGCAAGCCACCCCCTTTTCTCCACAGCCTCCTGGGCTACAGTAGCAGCTCCTGCTTGGCTATGAGGTGGGATAGGTATGCTGTGTGGATCCCTCTGTGGGGATGGAAGCTTCTGGAAGAAAGAGGGTGGGAAGAAAGACCATCATTTGTGCAGGGTCACATTGAAAGTCACAGAGAGGACAGAAGGAAGTCACAGTGGAAGACAGGAAATGCTCTGGACATGGCCAGGGATGATCAAGAGGACCAGGGACTGGTTCTGGACTCCCTCACCGACTAGACAAGAGACTGGGCACAGAACTCCCTTCTCTTCTGGCCTTGGTTTCCTCCACTGTAAAATGGGATGATTGTCTCAACCTCAGGCAGAGAGGATTCCATCAAATAAAATCATTAGTGAATAGCCAAGTGGGGTATAGTAAAGACGACAAAGTTTGGACCCAGATGGGCTTGGATCGAAACACTATCTGTAGGGAGGGGACACAACTCGATTGGTATTGCTTACCTACAAGGCTGTAGATTCTAGATCCCCAGCACAGCATAAACTGGGCATGATGGTGCATACCTGTAATCCCAGCACCCAGGAGGTGAAGCAGAAGGAGCAGGAGTTCAAGGCCATCCTCAGCTACACAAGGCCCCATCTCAAAAAAAGAGAGTATTAGTTCCTTGCTTGCTGCTATGACAAAAGTCTTGACAACATCATTGTAAGGAAGGGCTTAGCTGGCTCACAGTTTGAGGGTTCAACAGTCATGGCGGGGAAGGGCTGGTGGCAGAAGAGGTGGTTGGTCACGTGTCTGGAGTGAGGAAGGAGACCAGCCAGGCGTCAGATGCATGGTGGTAGCTGCTACCACTCAGGTGGCATTTTCCTTTGCTATCCCAGGGTACCTGGTGGTGCTGGTAGAATTTCGGATGGGTCTACTCACTTTACTTATCCTAGTTTAGGGGCGTCCTCAAGTCAGACCAAGAAGCCTGCTTCCTGTGTGTTCTACAGCCTGTCAAGTTGACAGTCAGTATTTCTCACCACACTTCTAAGGACTTTTTATTTTTTAACATGGGGGGGGGTGTCGCATTTTTCTTCCACCTTAAAAAGTGTCCCCCAATTTTGTTTTTCCTTTCTGAGACAAAGTCTTACGTCACAGGTCAGGTCAGCCTGACATTCACTATCCTCCTGCCGCAGCCTCCTAAATTCTGAAAGTTCAAGAGGGAGCCCCCACAACGGTCCATTCCCCACCCGCGATTTGATTTGATTTGACTTTACTTTTTTGTATTTGTTTGTTTGGTTTTGGAGACAGGGTTTTTCTGTATAGTCCTGGCTGTCCTGGAACTCACTCTGTAGATCAGGCTGGCCTCGAACTCAGATCTGCAAGCCTGGTGTGCCACCACCACCAAGCCTTCCTTTTTTTTTCTCTCTCTTTTTTTTTTTTTTGGTGTTTTTTTTTTTTTTTTTTGAGACAGGGTTTCTCTGTGTAGTCCTGGCTGTCCTAGAACTCACTCTGTAGAGCAGGCTGGCCTCGAACTCAGAAATCCACCTGTCTCTGCCTCCCAAGTGCTGGGATTAAAGGCGTGTGCCACCACTGCCCGGCACCACCCAGCCTTCCTATCCTTTAAAATAAGTGGTAATCTCACTGGAGGGCCTTCAAAATATTTTGGGGCTCCCTAAAGTACCTGGTGGCCCTCATATGGGTTCAGGATTCTCTAGGTGCCCATCTGTCTGGGCATTCTCTCCCTTACCTGCAGGAGCCCATGTCTTCACCTCTGAGGACCCTCTACAGAGCTCAGAGTCTGGGGACCTGATGCCTCACTCTCTGCAGAGTTGAGTACAGGGCCCTGGTTTGTGAGAAAATGTCCTCTCTTCTGCATGGCACATCTTCTGGTCCCAGAGGCTGCGTA